ATTATTATTATTATTTTTCTCCTGCAAAATTTATAGCTGGATTTTATTTTTCTTTTCTTTTTCACTCTGTTCAGCGAACAATCATCTGCCAACCAACAATGCATCCACTTACAAGCAGGTGGAACAACTCCCTACCTTGCTCATGTTCTGTGAAAAATAAGGAGTTAATGCTGATAGTAAGTGCTTCAAAGATTAAAATTGCTACGCGTGTGCTAAGGGTTATTATTATTATTATTACTATTATTATTATAGATACAATCTAACCCAAATATTCCTTTGATTTTATAGCTGAAATAGATTCCATTTTGTATAATGCAAAAATGGCCTTGTTGGTCAGGTAATAAAAGTTCTTGTAGTGTGTCTTGATGAATAACTCATTGTAATTTACAGGGCAAGAATCAAATGTACTTTTAAATTTAAAAAAAAAAAAAAAAAAAAGAGTAGTCTTGATGTTTTCAATGGTAATGATTGCAAAGTAAAACAGTATTCCACATGAGTCAAAATGTTTAATTTCAAATACGAATGGCTCTCAGATTTGAAAAACAATTCCCAAATCCTACCTGACATATGTGTAAAGAAATAGCTCTCGTTCCTTTGCACAATCACACAAGAATTTAAGGTGCTTGCAGAAAAAGATTCAGTGTGTGCCTAAATGTCATTTCAGCTAGTGAATTTCAGCACCTGGGGTGCTGCTTAGACCCACAAAATTTTACCAATCTTGTAAATTTGTACTAGAATAATCACTAAGCAATGATGTTCCTTCCAATGAGTATAGCAATGCTCATCGAGTCTTCATGACATCTAAATACTTGAAGCTCATATTCAACACTGAGCATCCATAAAATTTTGGATGATCAATTTCTTATTCTTTCTCTGTAACAGAGCATGGTGTGATACACATTCTTAAAGCACTCCTATAGGATTCATCAATCCTTAAAGGGCATCTGGGAATCAAATTTTGAGAGCTGGAGATGAGAAATAGTCATTTCATCAGTGATGAGAGCTCCACTCTACCTAATCTAGGAATTACTGACAATGTTACTAGAATACAGATTATACCTACACTGTTTTGGGCATTAGCAGATATACTTGTTTCTTTACAGTCCTAAATGTCTGATTTGAAGTTTAAGCAATCCCAGCCTTTATTACTTTCTTTCCCAATTGTAAGTAAACTTTGCTTTCCTATAACAAAATTGCTTGATGATTTGTTTGGTTACCAGTATTTGCATCACATGAAAATAACCATGTAATTTTTGCTGTCAGAAAGGGAAGATGAGTGAATGTATGTTAACTTAATTATTTATTTACTGTATAGTAAATATATCTAGCTAGTTGTACAGAAGTAATATAAGATATCTAAATGCTTCAATCCATTCTATACTGGGAATCTTTGATATTTGCCTGCCCTGCAGAGTGATTGCACTCAAATGAAAATAGAACATCTTAATAACTAAATCTCTTGCTCTGTCTTTCTGAGATAATTAAGATTTTTCACTGAAATAATCATACATGAGATTATTGCTTTAAGCATCATGGGGTCATGATCTATACTCTTTAAAGGAGACAGAAGACAAAGGTCTATGAAACACTACCAATATGTATCTCTCATAGCCTGTGCCAGTCAGATTACAACTCTTCAGGTCTATTCCAGAGATCTTAAAATAAATCTAAAGAAAATGGAGTATCCAGTCAAAAAGCTCCTTCTTCTGAGAAGAAAAAGAGAAAAAGGAAAGAAAAGAGACAGAACTGAAAGATTCTTATAGTTATCTATTCCTTCAAGAAACAATCTAGCTACATTCAACATAATATATAGCTAATAAGAACAAATTATACAGCATATTTATCAGTTTGCATTACTACTAATAATGCATTAATAGCATTTCAATTACCCCTCAATATAGAAAAAATACTATTAATTATAGTAGTTCCTTTATTTTTGACATTGTATTAAAATTGTTGATTTCTATAACTCCACCTAAGAATATAGCATGACTTGAATGCCTGCAAGAATGGTGCAAAAACATTTGAAAGAACATAAATAAGATAAATTACCCTGATCTTCCAAGATGTCATTGTCATCTAAAGATATTTGGTATCTAGAGGGCATTTGAAGAGATTTTGCATTTCTCTGCTAAATCAGAGCTTCTTACAAACTCTTGAAGTAGAGGCAACAGCATGACTTGCTCAGAAGAAATCTATTTCAGCAAAAAATGATTCCTACTGCAGGTTATAGCTATCCCTCAGCATTCACTGATGGCATCAAGGTCATAGTTTAATAATAAACTAAGAATTTTTATTTTATTTTTTTACTCTTCATTCTAAAGATTCAATAGATAATCAATACAACCTCTTATTTACCAAGCAGGAGGCAAACATTTTTAAGGATGTTTACTGTCTGAGGCACTGATTAAAAAACAAAGTTAAGTATTTTAATTACTATTACTATTGCTTTTTTTTTTTTCCTCATTTTTTCTAAAAACTGGTTCTAGCTGCAGTTCCTGAATTTTGCATCAAAGTACCAACTTGTGAATGGCCCCATTGAAATTATGTGGGTATACACACCGACATAATGAGAATTTTAATAGAGATTAATAGGAGAAACTCAAGAGATCCTCCTGGGCCCACTGCTCAAGCCTGTCTAGGTCTCTCTGGATGGCATTCTATCCCTCTGTGTTTTGCTCCAATTTATAGGAGGGAGATGAGGTTATTTTAACATAACATATGCAGCATGAGATTATGAAACAACGGTTCAAATTTTGGTCCAACCAGTTTATTATAAGTCCTAATCAGGGACACAGGAAAGGGAAGGAGGGTGATAGAAAAGATAGGAAACAAGCAAGAATCTTGTAAAGTGGGGATAGTCACCAGCAGGATCCAGCAGCCATCCCATTGCACAATGTTTTGAAGGTCTGAGGCAAAAGCAGCAGGGAGGGAGAGCAGCAGCATGGCTGACCTTGGGCAGCAAGCAGGTAGCAGAAAGAAGTCGTAGAGCCAATCCGGGAGGAAACAGCAGAACTCAGGTAGCAGGCCCAGGAGACTCAGTCAGCATGCAGGAATTCTGTAGTGAGGAATCTGATAGCAGACATCTTGGTTCTTCTTCAGCATCATGGTAGAGCACAGAGCAAGTGCAAGAGGGAGAGAGGAGGTCATGAAGCTTCTCATGTCAGAAACCTCTTCTTCTTCATGAGGAATCTGTTGCCAGAAAACCTCCCCTCATGGTTGTAGGTCCCCTTTTTATCCTTCTTCTTCTGCCATCATGGCACTCCTGGGCGCTTGGCTAAGAGTCATATGCAGCACCTCCTGAGATGGCCATCTTCCTTGAGATAAGCCCACATAAAAGACTGCTTCCTGGCCTTCTTTGGCTTCTTTGGCTTATCTCTCTCGTCGCCCCTGGCCTTGTCCATCTGCATCCCTCAGACAAAGGATTTTGCAACCCTGCCCAGGATTTGTCCATCAGTGTTCTCCAGTTCTTGCCCAGGACTTGCTTGGACTTGTTTATCTATGTCCCCAGCAAGCTTTGAGACAATGACAAGTAAAAGAACAATCACTTACATTCTGGTGTGTCAAATGCACCCCACAGCTTGCTGACACATCTTTTTGTACAGATGTATGTACACAACAATACACATACATTATTTTTTTTCTGAAAAAAAAAACATATTTACACTTTATACATTTACACTTTACATACTTTACATACTGCATTTTATGTTCACATTTATGTAAATATTCACTTTTTTTTTAAAGAGTCTTAAGATATTTCTTTAAATGCTTTTTAAAGCATATTTGACTATTTCAATGCGTATTTTTGTTACACTTACTGTCTGTGCAATACTGTGTCTAAACATACTTACAGAAAATAGAAAAAAAATGCCACTTTAATAATGAAACTTAATTCCAGTGAACTTTTTTTTTTTTTTAATCACCATAATTACACATGAAATTAAGGTACTCCATAGCAAGATTAATGTTTTACACCCATTATCTCACTCAGGTAACTATATATTGAGATCATTCTACAAGTTCAGTTCAAATCTTTTGACAGATGCCCATATTCTTCAACTTGTAAGATGGTCTGAAACTTACACAATCAAAAAGTTTATATTAGAGTAACCAAAACACTTAAAAATATTTTCTATTCCTGCACTGTGTGTAAACTCATTAAGGCTTTTTGTCCCTTACCATTTGAGAAAATCTTTCTACATTATGTTTCCATTTTACTTTCATAAAACACGAAATTTCTTTGTGGGTTATAATAGTCTAATTGGTCTGTAAATTACTGATGGTCCACAGTGCTATGACAGTGGCTTGCAGTTAATTTATAGTCTGCTGTACACTGCGATTTCAGTACAGATTCCCATTATATGTTTGATGATGTGAATGTGTGATTTGATGGTAAACTGCTATAATTGCTTATATGGGTCTGTTGTTTACTTGGTAATAACCGATGTCTGAGATTGTACTGTGTGCCTGTGTGTGTACAAATCTGCTCTGACACAGCTCTCCCTACTGCTGAAAGAGCAAAGATATTCAAAGGCAGAATTAAAACATTAAAATAAAAAAATAAAATAAAATAAAATAAAATAAAATAAAATAAATAAAATAAAATAATATATATATATATTTTTTTTAAATCAAGCATACTTAGACAAGAGACCTACTGTAAACAGGAAGAGCTCCTGTTTGAATTTCACCCTTGAAATATTCACCTGGGTAAAAACAATAAAGTTCTAAGTAATGCACAACAGTATGAAGTCGCACATTAATGATATTTTAGACAGTAGCTCTGTACTGCACTTAACACGTTCTTTCACTGTTTGTTAATTGGCATCATTAGCACAAATGTCATGGGTAGTTAATTTAATTAGTTCTTACTCATACATAATACTAATTTTCTGTTTCGGAAAGACAAATGAAGAATGCAAGTGGAAAACATGTTTTTGTTTGCTTTACTTTTTCTGTATGTCAGGGATAAAGAATTTTTAGTGGTTTTGCCCCAGATCTGTGCCTGGAAAGATCATGGAGTGGATCCTCTAGGAAGAGATATTAAAAGGTATATGCCAGACCATCCCATGATTTTATGATTCTGTGAGGAGGTGATCCAAGACAGTCAGCATAGATTCACCAAGGTAGATCATGCCTAACCATATTGGTAGCCCTCTATGATGAAGTGATAACCAAAGAAATATCCCATACCTCATAACATCAAGCCTGAAACAGATAACTGAGGCATTCTGGTCAGCGATGTCGCCACTGCTTGAGGACCTGCTGGGTATCAGTCAGTTGGTAGTAAGTATTTGCATTATGAATCATTTGTTTAGTAAATATATATATATGTATAATAACCAATATTGTTTTCTTCTTTTCCCTTTTTGTCTTAATAATAGATTTTTCTCAACCCATGAGATTTACTTCATTGTCATTTTTCAGATTTTCTCTCCCATCCTACTGGGAGTGAGCGAACAGCTGCATGATGCTTAGTAGCTGCAAGATATTATTCTGTTAACATCAGTGTCTCAAAGCTTGCTGGGCACACAGATGGACTTGTTCAAGTCCAGGCAAGTCCTGGGCAAGGGTTGTGAAATCCTTTGTCTGGGGGACACAGATGGACAAGGCCAGGGGCAAGGAGAGATAAGCTGCAGCTAAATAGCTCTGAAGCGGTCTTTTGTGTGAATTTATCTCAGGATGATGGCCATCTCAGGGGGTACTCACATGACTCTTGCTCAAGCACCTAAGGATGTCAGGTAGGCAGGAGAACAAATAGGATAAAAGGGGAATCAAAAACCAAGAGAATAGGTTTCTGACAACAGATTCCTCATGAAGAAGAACTAGGATTTTCTGATAACAGATTCCTCACGAAGTGATGCCTGCATGCTGACGTACTCTCCTGGGCCTGCTGCCTGAGTGCTGCTGCTTCCTCCTGGATTGACTCCGCGACTTCCTCCTGCTACCTGCTTGCTGCCCAAAGTCGGCCACGCTGCTGCTCTCCCCCTCCCTGCTGCTTCTGCCTCAGACCTTCAAAATGTCATGCAACGGGACGGCTGCTGGATCCTGCTGGTGACTATCCCCACTTTACGCAATTCTTGCTTCTTTCCTATCTTTTCTATCGCCCTCCTTCCCTTCCCCGTCTCCCTGATTAGGACTTAAAATAAACTGGTTGGACCAACATTTGAACTGTTGTTTCTTAATCTCACGCCAGGTATACAGATATTAAAAGAACCTCATCTCCCCCCTATAAATTGGAGCAAGACAGTAGCTTTCTAGGTTAAATCACAACACTGATGTCAGCATGTCCAGTCTCTCAAAGGTGTTATCTTAGAACACAGAACACAAAGTCCTGACTGCAGCATAATCTTCACAGACCGTTATTCATCCAATCTGTTTGCCATCCTCTTTCTGGGTCTCTAACTGGGAGATCAGAGGAAAATAGTATCTGTACTCTCAGTTCCTTCATCATCTTCCCAAGGGACTTATAGTCTATTTCGATGTTTTGGATTATCCTTGTTACAGCCTCATGTGACCTAGCTTACAAGAGCACGATTGGATAGAAGTCCTCTAGTTTTACCAGAACTGGTAGCCTCTTCTGATATTGCAAATATAGGCCTTAGCAGGAAGTGAGCCACTCTAGAGAGTTACTCTGGATGACAAACAGGTGTTTCATCGCCTTTCAGCAAGAAGTCTCCAATTACTAGTTCTCTTCATACTTCTTTTTTTTGTGACAGTGGTGTAATACAGGTGGTTGATTGGACCAATTCTGTATGGTTGTCCTTTCCGTTGGTCTTGACTATTTCCTATACACTTTTATTTTTTCAGCCCCAGAACACTGTATCTGTTGTGTAGGAGCACTGTGTTGCAAGGGGGAGATTCCTCATTCTGGTCCAAGCAGAGGCAATTTTCCAGTATCCCTTGTCAAGTTTATCAGTTGAGCATGTTACCTTCAGTATACATATACATTTTCCACATAGAATCATAGAATGGGTTGGATTGGAAGGGACCTTTAAGATCATCTAGTGTCAACCTCCCTGCTGTAGCCAGAGACACTTCCCTCAAGACCAGGTTGCTCGAAGTTCCATCCAAGTCTGACTTTGAATGCGTCCAGGGAGGGAGCATTCACAGCCTCACTAGGCAACCTGTTCCAGCATTTCATCACTCTCAAGTAAAGAATTTATCTCCAAAATCTAATCTAAATCTACTGTCTTCCAGTTAAAAGTAATTTCCTCTCATACAGTTGCTACTGCCTTTGTAAAAAGTCCCTCCCCATCTTTCCTATAGGTTCCTTTCACGTACTAGAAGGCCACCATAAGCTCTCCTCAGAGCCTTCTGTTCTCCAGGCTGAAGAGCTCCAGCACTCTCAGCCCGTCCTCTTAGGGGACTTGCTGCAGATCTCTGATAATCTCTGTGGCCCTCCTCTAGACCTGCTTCAACAGCTCAATGCCTACCTTGTTTTGGGGGCCCCAGAAATGGATGCAATACTCCATCCAGGTGGGGTCTCATAAGAGCAGAGCAGAGGGGAAGAATCACCCCCTTTGACCTGCTGACCATACCCCTTTTGGACTGCAAGGGCGTATTTTTGGCTCATGCTGAATCGTTCAACAAGCAATACTCCCAAATCCTTGCTGAGGGAGCTCTTGATCCTAATGTCTATGTCACCTGCAAAGATGTGGATGTGACCTCATTACAGCCTTTCAGTACCTAGAGGGAGCCTACAAACAAGAGATTGTACTCTTTGAAAGGGTAGATAACAGCAGAACAAGGAGAAATGGTTTTAAGTTGAGGGAGGGGAGATTTAGGTTGGATGTCGGGGAAATTCTTCACAGAAAGAGTGGTGAGGTGCTGGACCAGGCTGCCCAGAGAGGTTGTGGATGCTCAGTCCGCAGAGGTGTTCAAGGCCAGACTGGACGGGGCCCTGGGCAGCCTGGTCTAGTATTGAATGGTGAAGTTGGTATCCCTGCATGTAGCAGGAGCATTGGAGATTCATGAGCCTTGAGGTCCCTACCAACCCTGACCATTCTGTGATTCTATGTTAAATAATACCAGCTGCAGCCCCGATCCCTGAAGAATGCTACTCATCCCTGAGGAATGCTACTGGTCTCCACTTGGACATTGAGCCATTGACTGCAACTCCTGAGTGTGACCATCCAGACAATTCCTTATCCAATAAGTAGTCCATCTATCAAATCCATTTTTTCTCCAATTTGACAACCAGGATTTCATACAGGACAGTGTCAAACACTTTACACAAGTCCATGTAGATGACATTAGTTGCTATTCTTTTATACGCTGACACTGTAACTCCAACAGAAAAGGTGAGCAAGTTTGTGAGATATAACTTGCCCTTGGTGAAACCATGTTTGTTTCCATGGATCACCTCATCTTTATTTTCTATGTGTCATAGTTAGGCCTTCTGGAAGATCTGCTCCATGGTCTTACCAGGCACAGAGGTGAGACTGACTGGTATGTAGTTCTCTGGATCTTTATTTTCTCCCTTCTTGAAAATGGGGGTTATGTTTTCCCTTTTCCAAAGAGTGGGAACTTCATCAGACTGCCATGACCATTCAGATACGACAGACAGTGGCTTGGCAACTTCCTTCTGGTTCTTCTTCACAGCTGTTGAAAATTCATAACTAATGGTGGTGATAATGTTGAAAAACATTGCTTTATAGCTGAGAATTTGCTCTATCTAATGGTGTTATTGTGTTCTTTCTATGTACTGTGGTTTTCATGGAAATATATAGCAGATATTACTTTCAGAGTAACCTAGGTACAGTCTTTAGCTGTTAGCTTAAAGATATGTCAATGATTCACACAAAATGCTGGAATTTAATTTGCTGTGGAAATTAAATTGAACGTTCAATTTTGGTAATTTTCATAAGAAGAAAAAAAGAACTAACAAAATAAAGTAACTTTCTTGTAATAAGACTAGAGAATTTGTATTTACCCTGCAGCCTTTTTAAAATAAAGTACTTTTATTATAGGATATTCAGAATAATAGAATTTGCTTTTTCATCTATTATAATTTTATTTAAAAAATATAAACAGATAAAAGCCCCAAAGCCCTAGAAGCCAGAGCAAATTAAATTTGATTTGTTGGCAATTCAAGTTAATTTCACACTTTAGCTTTATTCATAGTTACTTAAGAAGGGCTTTAGAAAATATTGAGATAGATGTCACCACATTTATGTGGAAAATATTGTTGCTGTCAAAATAAGTATTCATTATTATTTCTTTACTGATGAACTGTAGTATGAATCAGATCCCTCAGGTGATATATGGATTCAAATTTCAATTTTTTAAATATTTATTTAGCCAAATTTAGGACAATCTTTTCTTTGAATAAAAATATGTTTCAGTGACAAGAATATGCTATAGTGTGTATTGGAAATTTCTGATGAACATGGCAGATCAATCATTTTTTCCTTCCTCTCTAGTACCTCTTGTCTGCCCCCCGTCCTTGCATATTTTGATAGCAAGAGGGTTTTGTGCATCAGAAAAACACCAGTGTTTTTTTGTTTGGTGACAGTGGAAGAACTTATGTTGAGATGACACATTAAATGCATAGTTAGAAAGTAATTGGAACTGTTCACAAAAAAGTTTAATCAAACAAGAACTATGTGTTCATTGTATATATGCTGCTCTTTAGTCTACCTTCTTTTCCTTTGTATTTCCTGGTCTTCTATCTTTTCCTCCATGGTATGCTGTAATGGTAAAAATGAACTGTTTTTAGTATGATTTCCATAATGTCATGTTATGGTTTCCACTTCAGAATTTGTCACAAATGAGGAAACTGATCTAAGTACATTAAAATAATGGTAAAAATATGTTAGTAAGAAATTAATTTTGGATGGGAAGTCTCTTATCACAGACTTCAGGTAGTTCAATTCCACTTCTCTTGAAAAGCAAAACAAAAGAATAGAAAACACTTGTAATTGCTATGTCTTTCTTGAAGGATATATACAAATTTCATTTCAATATTATATATTATGTTTATATATATATTTCTATTAATTTTA